AATGGACTATGAATACAGAGAAAGCAGAACAAACATGATTGGCAGTCCTGACAATATGTACAATCAATAACTGAAACATGTTTTTTGACGATATGCAATATTCGATAATACACCTAAATTCAGATACGAGGTTTTTGGGTCAGGAATTTGATATGGAATGGTTCATCGGACTGGTCAAAGTCAAGCCCATATGTTTGTTTGTATGATTCTAAGAACATTTATTGAGTTTAAGTTCAGTGGACGTTCGGTCGAATGCTTAGGATGATTTTCAGATTTGTGCTGAAAAATGTGGCATTGCAACTCATGTAGAACTAGTTTTATAAACACAAAGACAGGGTTTCAAATACACTTAGACAAGTGTAAATTTGTGCCAGATAATTGTGAACAATTTGAAAGGTACATTGTAGAAACGAGTTATGACAATCACTTGCTTAAAGTTCCAAAATCACAAATTAGAAAAAAGTGCGAGATGACATACGCAGAGCATCATCAAAACTCAACGTTAAGTTAAAGTAAGGTCGTCATATTGGGCAGTAAGTGGCGTCAACAAAGGCCATTTTAGAAGGTAAATAAAAAATTGGAGTTGCTTAAAGTTCAGTTCGTTCAAAGAATAATCGCGAATCTACACTGTTGTAGTCCGATGCTGCACAAGGGGAACTCAAATGGTTGATAAGTGCACTTTGAAATAGGAGCGGTACAACTATTTTGAAATCATTGATGCTCAGCTATTGACAGATGTGTTAACAGCAGGATGGGATGCACTTTTAAATGAGAAGTAGGCTCAAAGATTTTGGGACATATCTCTAAGATAGTCATAATGTACTCCAGTGGTTGAGAAATGTGTGCAGTTTTATAGCCTTAGTGTCTTTTAGACAGTGACTAACCGATGACTATACTAATCCGTCCCGACAATGTAACGACGGTTTCGCATCACAACAAATTTACAATTGTTAATTAGGAAAATACAAAGTGATGTTGGTGACACGATATTTACTCTATGAGATAAGCATTAATCTATGTCTGTGTGGGTTTAAAAAGGTCTTTAACGCGTATCAAACTAATTTATAAATAAATCTCATACAAATTAAGAAAAAAAATGATGTGTTAAATACTGTTTTTTACAAAGGGATGCTGGATACCTGTACAAATAAAATTGTTACGGATATAATGTTTTTCTTAATCCCGTCTCGTGTATTGTATGAAGCAACATTTGAAGGCCATATCGACATCGTTAAGTTGGACAAAGGAGCAGATCCGGAAAAGGCTTGTGTTCCATCATATTGATATATGCGTTACAATATATTTGTTTTTAAATACGTAAAATGATTCATGTAGTCAACAGTTGGTATCTGGAAATGAACACATAACAAGTTAAAGGAAGAGTAGGAACAGTAGGAAACCACGCAACGATAACCAAATGAAAAACCGGTCTTTTTTCCAAACATCCTTATATTACAATGAATCGTTTGTAATCATATGCAGACATTAACTGTTATGGTCGTTATTCCCACGCTTTCGTTGATATCCCGTGTAATATATAACTGCCTAAATATAAATATGTATTATTAACTTGATAAAATTGAACATAAGCAGAGTTTAATCAAGTCCCTTACCGTCATCTTGTATCCCTCATTACACCAGAAACGACTCTATTCTTAGTGTATTAGTCTAGCCATACGTACTCTGATAGACTGTTGTATTTGTAAAGGATTTTATATTTCTTTTGATCTTTTGAATCCTGTGACAGAGTCAGTATCTAATGATCAGTCTGGCATTGGTAAATGTGTGTTTTAAAGTTATATATTTAGGTTTGTAAAAGATTCAATGATGCCAATTATTGTTAAATATATAGCGATGCATGAGTTTAGAGGAGGAGGAAGGTTGTTGTACCAGGACAATAACAATATCTGTTTTAGTAGATCGAAGCGAAAACGTTAACAAGGAATTATAATTGAAAAGATGAGTGAAAAACAACGCCACAACCAAATGAAACATCATTCATTATTATCTACAAGCATACCTAACTTATTTATGCAAACATCAATGTAACCCAACGGAAAGTCCACGCTGTGATCGTTTCCCATGTAACATATAAACAAAATGTATTATTCTGCCATGAAAAGAAAATCAATCTTCACAAGTACAATCACGAATAATGTCAATTGCTTTTAAATACAATATGATGTATTTTCTTTATTCTTACTTGATAAAATTTTCTCTGATACCCTCACTACACAAGAAAAGAACCAATATATCTTTAATTTGTCTTTCCAGAACAGTCTAATTACATAACACGTGACATTTAACCTTGAATATTAAGGATGAGGTGCTGGAAAATCATTTGTAAAACGTCAATTTAGACTTATTACTTAGTCATCAAAAGTGTTTGCGGCAAAATCATATACATGAAGATGTCTCAAATAATATATTTTGCAAAGCGGTGCTGCGGACCTGTAATAATAACATTTTCCTTGTTAAATCTCATTTTGTTCACTGATATTATGTGTTTGTTTATCCAGTCTGTTGCATTGAAGTACGCAGCACATAATGGCCATATCGACATTGTTAAGATGTTGTTGGACAAAGGAGCAGATCCGAAAAAGGTTTGTTTTACATCATATTAATATATGCGTTACAATATTTGTTCTGAAGTACGTAAAATGATGCCATATTGTTAACTTTTGGTATTTGGATATGAACACATGACAATTTAAAGGAAGATAAATGTGAGATAATGACAAAAACGATTTTGTTCGTTTTTAATAGGAAACCACACAATGATAGCAAAATTAAACACCGGTTCTTTTTCCAAACATGCTAATACAACAACTATTTGTTTGTAATCTTATTTAGACATTAATTGATATGGTCGTTAATGCCACGTTTTCTTTGAAATCTCGTGTATTTCATAACTGCAAACATATCCTTATATATATAAACTTGATAAAATTGAAACAGTTTGGCATTGGTATGGTGTGGTTTGAATTTATATGATGAGGTTTATTAAAGATTCAAATGATATCAACTATTGTAAAATATATAGCGATGCAAGAATTAAGAGGAGGAGGACGGCTTTTGTACCAGGACAATATCAATATCTTTTTTTAAGTAGATGAAAGTCATGAACAGAAAATCAGCCTTCACAAGTACAATCACGAATTATGTCAATTACTTTTATATAAAATATGGTATAATTTCTTTATTCTTACTTGATCGAATTTCCTCTAATACCCTCAATACTCAGGAAACTATACCATTTATCTTTTACTTGGCTTACCAGCACAATCTAATTACATAACACGTGACAATTAACGTTGAATATTGAGGATGAGGTGCCGGGAAATCATTTGTAAAACGTCAATCTATAATTATTACTTAGTCATGAACAGTGTTTGCGGCAAAATCAAATACATTTATATACTTTTTGTTCGATTTTTTTAATAATAAGTCGCAAGTCATTTTAACAATCAGTACTTCGAAAATACAAAGTGATGTTGGTGACACGATATTTGCTCTATGAGATAAGCATTAATCTATGTTTGTGTGGTTTCAAAAATGTCATTCACCGTATCAAACTAATAAACCTATGATGGTTTATAAATAAATCTCATATGAATTAAGTAAAAAAATATGATGTCTCAAATATTGTTATTTTATAAAGAGATGCTGGATACCTGTAATTATAACATTATCTTTGTTAAATCTCAATTTTGTTACTAATATAATGGTTATCTTTATACAGTCTCTTGTATTGTATGAAGCAGCATGTGAAGGCCATACCGACATCGTTAAGATGTTGTTGGATAAAGGAGCAGATCCGAAAGAGGTTTGTGTTACATCATATTGAAAATGCGTTACAATATTGGTTCTTAAATACGTAAAATGATGCCATGTTGTCAACATTTGGTATATGGATATGAACAAATGATAAGTTAAAGGAAGCGAAATGTTCGATCATGACAAATACGATTTTGGTCGTTTTTTATTGAGAAACCACACAACGATAACATAATTAAACACCGGTCGTTTGTCCAAACATGCTAATGCTACAATTATTCGTTTGTAATCTTATGCAGACATTAACTGATATGGTCGTTAATGCCAATCTTTCTTTTAAATCCGGTGTATTTCATAACTGCAAACATATCCATATATATAAACTTGAAAAAAAGGAACAGTTTGGCATTGGTATGGTGTGTTTTGAAGTTACATATTGAGGTTTGTTAAAGATTCAAACGATGTCAACTATTGTTAAATATATAGCGATGTATGAGTGCAGAGGAGGAGGAAGGCTGTTGTACTAGGACAATAATAATATTTTTTAAGCAGATAAAAGCGAAAACGTAAATTTGTCTTCAGCCATGAACAGAAAATCAATCTTCATAAGTACAATCACGAATGATGGCAATTGTTTTTAAATAATATATGGTGTAATTTCTTTATTCTTACTTGTTCTAATTTCCTCTGATACCTTCAGTCACAGGAAACGATGTCATTTATGTTTAACTTGTCTTACCAGCACAGTTTAATTACATAACACGTGACAATTAACGTTGACTATTAAGATGAGAGGCTGGGAAATCATTTGTAAAACGTCAATCTGGATTATTACTTAGTCATCAACAGTGTTTGCGGCAAAATCAAATACATTGATCTGCTTCTGGTTCAATTTTTTAATAATAAGTCAGAAGTCTTTTTATCAATAATTACTTAGGGGGAAAAAAGTGATGTTGGTGACACGATAATTACTCTGAGATAATAATTAATCTTTTTATGCGTGGTTTCAAAAATGTTATTAACGCGTATCAAACTAATAAACCTATGATGGTTAATAAATAAATCTCATACAAATAAAAAAAAAAAAACATGATGTCTCAAATCATTTTCTTATAAAGAGATGCTGGATACCTGTAATTATAACATTAACCTTATTAAATATCATTTTTGTTACTGATATAATGGTTTTCTCTAACAGTATTGTGTATTGTATGAAGCAGCATGTGAAGGCCATACCGACATCGTTAAGATGTTGTTGGACACAGGAGCAGATCCAAAAGAGGTTTGTGTTACATCATATTGTTATATGCGTTACAATATGTGTTCTTAAGTACGTAAAATGATTCCATGTAGTCAATATTTGGTATCTGGATATGAACACATAAGTTAAAAGAAGAGAAATGTGAGGTCATGACAAAAACGATTTTGGTCATTTTTAGTAGGAAACAACACAACGATAACAAAATGAAACACCGGTGGTTTTCCCAAACATGCTTATACAACAATGATTCGTTTGTAATCATATGCAGACATTAACTGTTATGGTCGTTAATGCCACGCTTTCTTTGAAATCCAGTGCAATTTATACCTGCTTATCTATAAATATATATTATTAACTTGATAAAATTGAACATAAGCAGAGTTTGATCAAGTCCCTTACCGTCATCCTGTATCCCTCATTACACCAGAAACGACTCTATTCTTAGTGTATTAGTCTATCCATACGTACTCTGATAGACTGTTGTATTTGTAAAGGATTTTATATTTCTTTTGATCTTTTGAATCCTGTGACAGAGTCAGTATCTAATGATCAGTCTGGCATTGGTAAATGTGTGTTTTAAAGTTATATATTTAGGTTTGTAAAAGATTCAATGATGCCAATTATTGTTAAATATATAGCGATGCATGAGTTTAGAGGAGGAGGAAGGTTGTTGTACCAGGACAATAACAATATCTGTTTTAGTAGATCGAAGCGAAAACGTTAACAAGGAATTATAATTGAAAAGATGAGTGAAAAACAACGCCACAACCAAATGAAACATCATTCATTATTATCTACAAGCATACCTAACTTATTTATGCAAACATCAATGTAACCCAACGGAAAGTCCACGCTGTGATCGTTTCCCATGTAACATATAAACAAAATGTATTATTCTGCCATGAAAAAAAAATCAATCTTCACAAGTACAATCACGAATAATGTCAATTGCTTTTAAATACAATATGATGTATTTTCTTTATTCTTACTTGATAAAATTTTCTCTGATACCCTCACTACACAAGAAAAGAACCAATATATCTTTAATTTGTCTTTCCAGAACAGTCTAATTACATAACACGTGACATTTAACCTTGAATATTAAGGATGAGGTGCTGGAAAATCATTTGTAAAACGTCAATTTAGACTTATTACTTAGTCATCAAAAGTGTTTGCGGCAAAATCATATACATGAAGATGTCTCAAATAATATATTTTGCAAAGCGGTGCTGCGGACCTGTAATAATAACATTTTCCTTGTTAAATCTCATTTTGTTCACTGATATTATGTGTTTGTTTATCCAGTCTGTTGCATTGAAGTACGCAGCACATAATGGCCATATCGACATTGTTAAGATGTTGTTGGACAAAGGAGCAGATCCGAAAAAGGTTTGTTTTACATCATATTAATATATGCGTTACAATATTTGTTCTGAAGTACGTAAAATGATGCCATATTGTTAACTTTTGGTATTTGGATATGAACACATGACAATTTAAAGGAAGATAAATGTGAGATAATGACAAAAACGATTTTGTTCGTTTTTAATAGGAAACCACACAATGATAGCAAAATTAAACACCGGTTCTTTTTCCAAACATGCTAATACAACAACTATTTGTTTGTAATCTTATTTAGACATTAATTGATATGGTCGTTAATGCCACGTTTTCTTTGAAATCTCGTGTATTTCATAACTGCAAACATATCCTTATATATATAAACTTGATAAAATTGAAACAGTTTGGCATTGGTATGGTGTGGTTTGAATTTATATGATGAGGTTTATTAAAGATTCAAATGATATCAACTATTGTAAAATATATAGCGATGCAAGAATTAAGAGGAGGAGGACGGCTTTTGTACCAGGACAATATCAATATCTTTTTTTAAGTAGATGAAAGTCATGAACAGAAAATCAGCCTTCACAAGTACAATCACGAATTATGTCAATTACTTTTATATAAAATATGGTATAATTTCTTTATTCTTACTTGATCGAATTTCCTCTAATACCCTCAATACTCAGGAAACTATACCATTTATCTTTTACTTGGCTTACCAGCACAATCTAATTACATAACACGTGACAATTAACGTTGAATATTGAGGATGAGGTGCCGGGAAATCATTTGTAAAACGTCAATCTATAATTATTACTTAGTCATGAACAGTGTTTGCGGCAAAATCAAATACATTTATATACTTTTTGTTCGATTTTTTTAATAATAAGTCGCAAGTCATTTTAACAATCAGTACTTCGAAAATACAAAGTGATGTTGGTGACACGATATTTGCTCTATGAGATAAGCATTAATCTATGTTTGTGTGGTTTCAAAAATGTCATTCACCGTATCAAACTAATAAACCTATGATGGTTTATAAATAAATCTCATATGAATTAAGTAAAAAAATATGATGTCTCAAATATTGTTATTTTATAAAGAGATGCTGGATACCTGTAATTATAACATTATCTTTGTTAAATCTCAATTTTGTTACTAATATAATGGTTATCTTTATACAGTCTCTTGTATTGTATGAAGCAGCATGTGAAGGCCATACCGACATCGTTAAGATGTTGTTGGATAAAGGAGCAGATCCGAAAGAGGTTTGTGTTACATCATATTGAAAATGCGTTACAATATTGGTTCTTAAATACGTAAAATGATGCCATGTTGTCAACATTTGGTATATGGATATGAACAAATGATAAGTTAAAGGAAGCGAAATGTTCGATCATGACAAATACGATTTTGGTCGTTTTTTATTGAGAAACCACACAACGATAACATAATTAAACACCGGTCGTTTGTCCAAACATGCTAATGCTACAATTATTCGTTTGTAATCTTATGCAGACATTAACTGATATGGTCGTTAATGCCAATCTTTCTTTTAAATCCGGTGTATTTCATAACTGCAAACATATCCATATATATAAACTTGAAAAAAAGGAACAGTTTGGCATTGGTATGGTGTGTTTTGAAGTTACATATTGAGGTTTGTTAAAGATTCAAACGATGTCAACTATTGTTAAATATATAGCGATGTATGAGTGCAGAGGAGGAGGAAGGCTGTTGTACTAGGACAATAATAATATTTTTTAAGCAGATAAAAGCGAAAACGTAAATTTGTCTTCAGCCATGAACAGAAAATCAATCTTCATAAGTACAATCACGAATGATGGCAATTGTTTTTAAATAATATATGGTGTAATTTCTTTATTCTTACTTGTTCTAATTTCCTCTGATACCTTCAGTCACAGGAAACGATGTCATTTATGTTTAACTTGTCTTACCAGCACAGTTTAATTACATAACACGTGACAATTAACGTTGACTATTAAGATGAGAGGCTGGGAAATCATTTGTAAAACGTCAATCTGGATTATTACTTAGTCATCAACAGTGTTTGCGGCAAAATCAAATACATTGATCTGCTTCTGGTTCAATTTTTTAATAATAAGTCAGAAGTCTTTTTATCAATAATTACTTAGGGGGAAAAAAGTGATGTTGGTGACACGATAATTACTCTGAGATAATAATTAATCTTTTTATGCGTGGTTTCAAAAATGTTATTAACGCGTATCAAACTAATAAACCTATGATGGTTAATAAATAAATCTCATACAAATAAAAAAAAAAAAACATGATGTCTCAAATCATTTTCTTATAAAGAGATGCTGGATACCTGTAATTATAACATTAACCTTATTAAATATCATTTTTGTTACTGATATAATGGTTTTCTCTAACAGTATCGTGTATTGTATGAAGCAGCATGTGAAGGCCATACCGACATCGTTAAGATGTTGTTGGACACAGGAGCAGATCCAAAAGAGGTTTGTGTTACATCATATTGTTATATGCGTTACAATATGTGTTCTTAAGTACGTAAAATGATTCCATGTAGTCAATATTTGGTATCTGGATATGAACACATAAGTTAAAAGAAGAGAAATGTGAGGTCATGACAAAAACGATTTTGGTCATTTTTAGTAGGAAACAACACAACGATAACAAAATGAAACACCGGTGGTTTTCCCAAACATGCTTATACAACAATGATTCGTTTGTAATCATATGCAGACATTAACTGTTATGGTCGTTAATGCCACGCTTTCTTTGAAATCCAGTGCAATTTATACCTGCTTATCTATAAATATATATTATTAACTTGATAAAATTGAACATAAGCAGAGTTTGATCAAGTCCCTTACCGTCATCCTGTATCCCTCATTACACCAGAAACGACTCTATTCTTAGTGTATTAGTCTATCCATACGTACTCTGATAGACTGTTGTATTTGTAAAGGATTTTATATTTCTTTTGATCTTTTGAATCCTGTGACAGAGTCAGTATCTAATGATCAGTCTGGCATTGGTAAATGTGTGTTTTAAAGTTATATATTTAGGTTTAGAAAAGATTCAATTATGCCAATTATTGATAAATATATAGCGATGTATGAGTTCAGAGGAGGAGGAAGGTTGTTGTACCAGGACAATAACATTATCTGTTTTATTAGATCAAAGCGAAAACGTAAACAAGGAATTATATTTGAAATGATGAGTGAAAAACAACGCCACGACTAAATAAAACATCATTCTTTATTATCTACAAGCAAACATAACTTTCTTATGCAAACATCGATGTAACCCTAAAGAAAGTCCACGTTTTGATCGTTTCCCGTGTAATATATAAACAAAATGTATTATTCTGCCTTGAACAGAAAATCAATCTGCACCCAGTAAAATCACGAATGATGTCAATTGCTTTTAAATAAAAATATGGTATAATTTCCTTATTTTTACTTGATCAAATTTCCTCCGATCCCCTCACTACACAGGAAACTATACCATTTATCTTTTACTTGGCATTCCAGCACAGTCTAATTACATAACACGTGACAATTAACGTTGAATATTAAGGATGAGGTGCTGGGAAATCATTTGTAAAACGTCAATCTAGAAGTATTACTTAGTCATGAACAGTGTTTGCGGCAAAATCAAATACATTTATATACTTTTCGATCGATTTTTTAATAATAAGTCACAATTAATTTTAACACGCATTGCTTGGAGGAAAACAAGTGATGTTGGGACACGATAATTACTCTATGAGATAATAATTAATCTAAGTATGTGTGGTTTCAAAAATGTCATTATCGCGTATCAAACTAATAAACCTATGATAGTTTATAAATATATTTCATATAAACGAAGAAAAAAAAAGATTTCTCAAATAATGTTTTTTATAAAGAGATGCTGGATACCTGTAATTATAACATTATCTTTGTTAAATCTCATTTTTGTTGCTAATATAATGGTTTTCTTTATACAGTCTCTTGTATTGTATGAAGCAGCATGTGAAGGCCATACCGACATCGTTAAGATGTTGTTGGATAAAGGAGCAGATCCGGAAGAGGTTTCTTTACATCATATTGATAAATGCGTTATAATATTTGTTCTTAAGTACTTCAACCAATTCCATGTAGTCAACGTTTGGTATCTGGATATGAACACATAACGAGTTAAAAGAAGAGAAATGTGAGGTTATGAAACAAACGATTTTGGTCATTTTCAGAAAGAAACCACACAACAATAACAAAATGAAACACCGATTGTTTTCCCAAACATGCTTATACTACAATGATTCGTTTGTAATCTTATACAGACAAGAACTGTTATGGTCGTTTATGCCACGCTTTCTTTGATATCCCGTGTAATTTATACCTGTTTATCTATAAATATATATTATTTACTTGATAAAATTGAACATAAGCAGAGTCCAGAACCGTCATCTTTTATCCGTCATTACACTAGAACCGACTCCAGTCTCAGTTTATTTGTCTTACCATACAGTTTTTGACAGTCTGTTATATTTGTAACAGATTTGATATTTATTTTTTCAAGTATGATCCCTTGACAGAGGCAACATCTAATAAGCAGTCTGGCATTGATAAATGTTTGTTTTAAAGTTATATATGTAGGTTTGTAAAAGATTCAACGATGCCAACTATTGTAGAATTATAATCATTAATCTACATCCGTTAGGTTTCAAAATTTCATTAACTCGTATCAAACTAATACACCTATGATTCTTTTTAAATTTTAAAAAGCACATACATATTAATAAAAAATAATGATGCCACAAATAATGTATTTTTCAAAGCGATGCTGCAGACCTGTAATAATAACATTTTCCTTGTTTACTGATATTATGTGTTTGTTTATCCAGTCTGATGCATTGAAGTACGCAGCTTGTAATGGCCATACCGACATCGTTAAGATGTTGTTGGACAAAGGAGCAGATCCGAAAGAGGTTTGTTTTACATCATATTGATAAATGCGTTACAATATTGGTTCTTAAGTACGTAAAATTATTCCATGTTGTCAAAATGTGGTATCTGGATATGAATACATGACAAGTTAAAAGAAAAGAAATGTTCGGTCATGACACACACGATTTTGGTAATTTTCAGTAGGAAACCACACCACGATAACAAAACTAAACACCGGTCTTTTTTTCCAAAAATGCTAATACTATAATTATTCGTTTGTAATCTTCTGCAGACAATAACTTATATGGTCGTTCAAGCCACGCTTTCTTTAAAATCCCGTGAATTTTATAACTGCAACTATATACATACATTGTATGTATAAATTTGATAAAATTGAACAGTTTGGAATTGGTATGGTGTGTTTTAAAGTTACATATTGAGGTTTGTTAAAGATTCAAATGATCTCAACTATTGTAAAATATATGGCGATGCATGAGTTCAGAGGAGGAGGAAGGTTGTTTTACCAATATTTTTATTTCAGTAGATAAAAACGAAAACGTAAACAGGGAATTAAAATTGAAAAAATGAGTTTAAAACAACACCAAAACAAAAAAAAACATCGTTTTTCATTCGCTACAATCATACCTAATGCTATTGTGTAAACATCAATGTAACCCAATGGAAAATGCTAGTTTTGATCGCAGTTCCGTGTAACATTTAAACATGTATTAATCTGCCATGAACAGAAAATCAATCTTCACAAATACAATCACGAATGATGTCAATTGCTTTAAAATAATGTATGGTGTAATTTCATAATTCTTACTTGATCGAATTTCCTCTGATACCTTCACTACACAGGAAATTTCCAGAACAGTCTAATTACATAACACGTGACATTTAACGTTGAATATTAAGGATGAGATGCTGGGAAACCATTTGTAAAATGTCAATCTAGAATTATTACTTAATCATCAACAGTGTTTGCGGCGAAATCATATACATTTATATACTTTTTATTTGATTTGGTAATAATAAGTCTCAAGTCACTTTAACAAACATTAGTAAAGAAAAGACAAAGTGATGTTAGTGACACGATATTTACTCTATGAGATAATCATTAATCTATATCCGTTAGATTTCAAAATTTCATTAACTCGTATCAAACTAATAAACCTATGCATCTTTTTAAATTTAAATAAGCACGTACATATTAATTAAAAATAATGATGCCACAAATAATGTATTTTTCAAAGCGATGCTGCAGACCTGTTATAATAACATTTTCCTTGTTTACTGATATTATGTGTTTGTTTATCCAGTCTGATGCATTGAAGTACGCAGCTCGTAATGGCCATACCGACATCGTTAAGATGTTGTTGGACAAAGGAGCAGATCCGAAAGAGGTTTGTTTTACATCATATTGATAAATGCGTTACAATATTGGTTCTTAAATACGTAAAATTATTCCATGTTGTCAAAATGTGGTATCTGGATATGAATACATGACAAGTTAACAGAAAAGAAATGTGAGGTCATGACACAAACGATTTTGGTAATTTTCAGTAGGAAACCACACAACGATAACAAAACAAAACACCGGTCGTTTTTTCCAAAAATGCTAATATTATAATTATTCGTTTGTAATCTTCTGCAGATATTAACTTAAATGGTCGTTTATGCCACGCTTTCTTTAAAATCCCGTGAATTTTATAACTGTAACTATATACATACATTGTATATATAAATTTGATAAAATTGAACAGTTTGGAATTGGTATGGTGTGTTTTAAAGTTACATATTGAGGTTTGTTAAAGATTCAAATGATCTCAACTATTGTAAAATATATGGCGATGCATGATTTCAGAGGAGGAGGAATGTTGTTTTATCAATAATTTTATTTCAGTAGATAAAAGCGAAAACGTAAACAGGGAATTGAAATTGAAAAGTTGAGTTAAAAACAACACCAAAACTAAAAAAAAAACATCGTTTTTCATTCGCTACAATCATACCTAATGCTATTGTGTAAACATCAATGTAACCCAATGGAAAATGCTAGTTTTGATCGCAGTTCCGTGTAACATTTAAACATGTATTAATCTGCCATGAACAGAAAATCAATCTTCACAAATACAATCACGAATGATGTCAATTGCTTTAAAATAATATATGGTGTAATTTCATAATTCTTACTTGATCGAATTTCCTCTGATACCTTCACTACACAGGAAATTTCCAGAACAGTCTAATTACATAACACGTGACATTTAACGTTGAATATTAAGGATGAGATGCTGGGAAACCATTTGTAAAATGTCAATCTAGAATTATTACTTAATCATCAACAGTGTTTGCGGCGAAATCATATACATTTATATACTTTTTATTTGATTTGGTAATAATAAGTCTCAAGTCACTTTAACAAACATTAGTAAAGAAAAGACAAAGTGATGTTAGTGACACGATATTTACTCTATGAGATAATCATTAATCTATATCCGTTAGATTTCAAAATTTCATTAACTCGTATCAAACTAATAAACCTATGCATCTTTTTAAATTTAAATAAGCACATACATATTAATAAAAAATAATGATGCCACAAATAATGTATTTTTCAAAGCGATGCTGCAGACCTGTAATAATAACATTTTCCTTGTTTACTGATATTATGTGTTTGTTTATCCAGTCTGATGCATTGAAGTACGCAGCTTGTAATGGCCATACCGACATCGTTAAGATGTTGTTGGACAAAGGAGCAGATCCGAAAGAGGTTTGTTTTACATCATATTGATAAATGCGTTACAATATTGGTTCTTAAGTACGTAAAATTATTCCATGTTGTCAAAATGTGGTATCTGGATATGAATACATGACAAGTTAAAAGAAAAGAAATGTTCGGTCATGACACACACGATTTTGGTAATTTTCAGTAGGAAACCACACCACGATAACAAAACTAAACACCGGTCTTTTTTTCCAAAAATGCTAATACTATAATTATTCGTTTGTAATCTTCTGCAGACAATAACTTATATGGTCGTTCAAGCCACGCTTTCTTTAAAATCCCGTGAATTTTATAACTGCAACTATATACATACATTGTATATATAAATTTGATAAAATTGAACAGTTTGGAATTGGTATGGTGTGTTTTAAAGTTACATATTGAGGTTTGTTAAAGATTCAAATGATCTCAACTATTGTAAAATATATGGCGATGCATGAGTTCAGAGGAGGAGGAAGGTTGTTTTACCAATATTTTTATTTCAGTAGATAAAAACGAAAACGTAAACAGGGAATTAAAATTGAAAAGATGAGTTTAAAACAACACCAAAACTAAAAAAAACATCGTTTTTCATTCGCTACAATCATACATAATGATATTGTGTAAACATCAATGTAACCCAATGGAAAGTCCTAGTTTTGATCGCAGTCACGTGTAACATTTTAACAAAATGTATTATTCTGCCATGAACAGAAAATCAATCTTCACAAATACAATCACAAATTATGTTAATTGCTTTAAAATAGTATATGGTGTAATTTCATAATTCTTACTTGATCGAATTTCCTCTGATACCTTCACTACACAGGAAATTTCCAGAACAGTCTAATTGCATAACACGTGACATTTAACGTTGACTATTAAGGAAGAGATGCTGGGAAACCATTTGTAAAATGTCAATCTAGAATTATTACTTAGTCATCAACAGTGTTTACGGCAAAATCAAATACATTTATATACTTTTTTGTTTGATTTGGTAATAATAAGTCACAATTAATTTTAACACGCATTGCTTGGGAGGAAAAAAGTGATGTTGGGACACGATAATTACTCTATGAGATAATAATTAATCTAAGTATGTGTGGTTTCAAAAATGTCATAAACCCGTATCAAACTAATAAACCTATGATAGTTTATAAATATATTTCATATAAACGAAGAAAAAAAAAGATTTCTCAAATAATGTTTTTTATAAAGAGATGCTGGATACCTGTAATTATAACATTATCTTTGTTAAATCTCTTTTTTGTTACTAATATAATGATTTTCTTTATACAGTCTCTTGTATTGTATGAAGCAGCATGTGAAGGCCATACCGACATCGTTAAGATGTTGTTGGACAAAGGAGCAGATCCGAAAGAGGTTTGTTTACATCATATTGATAAATGCGTTATAATATTTGTTCTTAAGTACGTCAACCAATTCCATGTAGTCAACGTTTGGTATCTTGATATGAACACATATCAAGTTAAAAGAAGAGAAATGTGAGGTAATGAAACAAACGATTTTGGTCATTTTCAGAAGGAAAGCACACAACAATAACAAAATGAAACACCGATTGTTTTCCCAAACATGCTTATACTACAATGATTCGTTTGTAATCTTATACAGACAAGAACTGTTATGGTCGTTAATGCCACGCTTTCTTTGATATCCCGTGTAATTTATACCTGTTTATCTATAAATATATATTATTTACTTGATAAAATTGAATATAAGCAGAGACCCAAACCGTCATCTTTTATCCGTCATTACACTAGAACCGACTCCAGTCTCAGTATATTTGTCTTACCATACGGACTTTGACAGTCTGTTATATTTGTAACAGACTTGATATTTATTTTTTTAATTTTGATCCCTTGACAGAGGCAACATCTAATAAGCAATCTGGCATTGATAAATGTTTGTTTTAAAGTTATATATGTAGGTTTGTAAAAGATTCAATGATGCCAACTATTGTAGAATTATAATCATTAATCTACATCCGTT